TTGGCGAAAATCCACTTGCCCCGGAAAACCCGAAAATCTGACCCTTTGGCTGGGGCCAAAAAAAACGGTTTCTCAGTTTTCACTTTTTCCACATACTTTTGACAGTTCTGACTAGCCCGGCGCTTAAATAGTTGGAATCAACGTTCACCCGGCTAAAAAATTCGATTTTGGCGAAAATCCACTTGCCCCGGAAAACCCGAAAATCTGACCCTTTGGCTGGGGCCAAAAAAAACGGTTTCTCAGTTTTCACTTTTTCCACATACTTTTGACAGTTCTGACTAGCCCGGCGCTTAAATAGTTGGAATCAACGTTCACCCGGCTAAAAAATTCGATTTTGGCGAAAATCCACTTGCCCCGGAAAACCCGAAAATCTGACCCTTTGGCTGGGGCCAAAAAAAACGGTTTCTCAGTTTTCACTTTTTCCACATACTTTTGACAGTTCTGACTAGCCCGGCGCTTAAATAGTTGGAATCAACGTTCACCCGGCTAAAAAATTCGATTTTGGCGAAAATCCACTTGCCCCGGAAAACCCGAAAATCTGACCCTTTGGCTGGGGCCAAAAAAAACGGTTTCTCAGTTTTCACTTTTTCCACATACTTTTGACAGTTCTGACTAGCCCGGCGCTTAAATAGTTGGAATCAACGTTCACCCGGCTAAAAAATTCGATTTTGGCGAAAAATCCAAGATCTGACACTTTGACCCTTGTGACCCTTGGACCGACTTTCCCCCCGGAAAAATCCAAGATCCGACACTTTGGCCTCCGGTGAAAAAATTTTTTTTTCATTTTTCACTTTTTCCACATACTTTTGATAGTTCTGAATAGCCCGTCGCTTAAATAGTTGGAATCAACGTTCACCCGGCTAAAAAATTCGATTTTGGCGAAAATCCACTTGCCCCGGAAAACCCGAAAATCTGACCCTTTGGCTGGGGCCAAAAAAAACGGTTTCTCAGTTTTCACTTTTTCCACATACTTTTGACAGTTCTGACTAGCCCGGCGCTTAAATAGTTGGAATCAACGTTCACCCGGCTAAAAAATTCGATTTTGGCGAAAAATCCAAGATCTGACACTTTGACCCTTGTGACCCTTGGACCGACTTTCCCCCCGGAAAAATCCAAGATCCGACACTTTGGCCTCCGGTGAAAAAATTTTTTTTTCATTTTTCACTTTTTCCACATACTTTTGATAGTTCTGAATAGCCCGTCGCTTAAATAGTTGGAATCAACGTTCACCCGGCTAAAAAATTCGATTTTGGCGAAAATCCACTTGCCCCGGAAAACCCGAAAATCTGACCCTTTGGCTGGGGCCAAAAAAAACGGTTTCTCAGTTTTCACTTTTTCCACATACTTTTGACAGTTCTGACTAGCCCGGCGCTTAAATAGTTGGAATCAACGTTCACCCGGCTAAAAAATTCGATTTTGGCGAAAAATCCAAGATCTGACACTTTGACCCTTGTGACCCTTGGACCGACTTTCCCCCCGGAAAAATCCAAGATCCGACACTTTGGCCTCCGGTGAAAAAATTTTTTTTTCATTTTTCACTTTTTCCACATACTTTTGATAGTTCTGAATAGCCCGTCGCTTAAATAGTTGGAATCAACGTTCACCCGGCTAAAAAATTCGATTTTGGCGAAAATCCACTTGCCCCGGAAAACCCGAAAATCTGACCCTTTGGCTGGGGCCAAAAAAAACGGTTTCTCAGTTTTCACTTTTTCCACATACTTTTGACAGTTCTGACTAGCCCGGCGCTTAAATAGTTGGAATCAACGTTCACCCGGCTAAAAAATTCGATTTTGGCGAAAAATCCAAGATCTGACACTTTGACCCTTGTGACCCTTGGACCGACTTTCCCCCCGGAAAAATCCAAGATCCGACACTTTGGCCTCCGGTGAAAAAATTTTTTTTTCATTTTTCACTTTTTCCACATACTTTTGATAGTTCTGAATAGCCCGTCGCTTAAATAGTTGGAATCAACGTTCACCCGGCTAAAAAATTCGATTTTGGCGAAAATCCACTTGCCCCGGAAAACCCGAAAATCTGACCCTTTGGCTGGGGCCAAAAAAAACGGTTTCTCAGTTTTCACTTTTTCCACATACTTTTGACAGTTCTGACTAGCCCGGCGCTTAAATAGTTGGAATCAACGTTCACCCGGCTAAAAAATTCGATTTTGGCGAAAAATCCAAGATCTGACACTTTGACCCTTGTGACCCTTGGACCGACTTTCCCCCCGGAAAAATCCAAGATCCGACACTTTGGCCTCCGGTGAAAAAATTTTTTTTTCATTTTTCACTTTTTCCACATACTTTTGATAGTTCTGAATAGCCCGTCGCTTAAATAGTTGGAATCAACGTTCACCCGGCTAAAAAATTCGATTTTGGCGAAAATCCACTTGCCCCGGAAAACCCGAAAATCTGACCCTTTGGCTGGGGCCAAAAAAAACGGTTTCTCAGTTTTCACTTTTTCCACATACTTTTGACAGTTCTGACTAGCCCGGCGCTTAAATAGTTGGAATCAACGTTCACCCTGCTAAAAATTTCGATTTCAGC